CCTAAACGTGTCTTAATGGCAAATCAATGTAAAGCATCTGGTGAGTAGCATAGCGCCCTCTATATTCACCTACTAGTATTGTGTTGCAATCTTATTCTTTTAAAGTATGATTTTAAATATTAAAGGGTGGTGGTCGTTACACAGCGCGTGTCTGAATTTCATAGAAACAATGTATTTTGCATTTGAGGAGGGTCAGATCTGCTCACCACCTCTGAGGTGCAAGTGGTCGCCCATTTTCATCCGGGGCGACCCCCCCCCCTCCCGGTGTGGCCACTATTGATTTTACACGCGTTGTATGGGTTGCAAGAATCCTAAATCGAACGAACAAACCTGTTTTATTATGGCGGGTCTAAACCATAGTTCTTCTGTGTCGATAAAAATCCCAATATCTGAAAATAACAAATTTAATGAAATGAAATGGAATTCATGACTAAACTACCATCACAAAGACTAAAGACTAACAGCTAATCCACAGCAAACGTTGTGTTCAAATACTGTATACTGTTCTGAATTCTTCTCGGGTTCACTGGTCGTTTTTGTTTCTGTTATACACAGCGCCACCTAGTGCCGAGAAGATACAGCGTAGCATTATGCATTTCCTATGAAGTTCAGAATTTGTGAATGTTATTATGCAAATTTGAAGCGAATTATGGATTACTGACGCTAACGGACTTGTGAGATACTGTGTCGATTTCATTCAATCTTGAATCGTCTCATGATCCTTATCAATACCTCAGATCATGCCTGTCTGACTCACTGCCCCCCTCTCGGAGTCTGACCAGCAATAATGATGTGTAAATACACGTGAGACAGGAATATTAAACGTGAGACAAGAAAATAATACGTTCTGGCTTAACTATTGTACATTATATTTGTTTTGGTCTATCTCTCCAACTATGACCCTGTTTAAAATATGTCTAAATAATCCAGGTTAATTACTCTACGTTCAGAGGTATGGCCAACAACTATATATATTTGACATGTAAATATCTAACACATGCATCTATATGGTCCAGTTTTAAAAAAACGGCTTTTAAAACTTTTACATATTTGAAATGTACGTTTGTCATTTTTAAACCCAACTTTGACCTGGGAAGGCTTGCAAGTTTGACATTTTAAAAAACTTTACTTCAAAAATGTTTATGATGAGACCTTGCTTCGTCACGTGTTCATATTTTGCCTGTGTATTAAAAGGATTATAACAGTTTTAGTTCCATAAGCACACAGTGTTTTCATCTGGCGACATTATCCACTTGTATGTTACCCTGAGCGAATATAAAAACGTAACTTACAATAGCCAGCTGGAAGATTCGTTGATCATTACATGCCAGTAACCACGAACGAACTAATCCGATAACGACGGAACAGACCATTCTACTAATACATTAGTACCGTTGTTCACACATGCCACCCCCCGGGTATCACTGCCCTCCAATGCCTTCCCCTCCCCTACTTTGCTTGTATAAGTATGACATATGAGGGTTCTCCAAAAACCAAAACAACTCTTTTTACTATTTTTTAAATATCAATGTACCCCTCTGCCTTTGCGTATTCCCGGGGGACATCGAATCACTCTTATTTCAGAGAATCACTGACTTTATTTTTCCAACAAGCTACACTGTAGTCCCAGAAGATACGTTGTCTTGTCGTCCTGTTCGAACGCCTCCGTATATTTGATATGTCTGGTTCAGGTTTTTCATTTTGTATTTTTGTCAGCCTATTGAAAAGTAACTTTTTTGGGGTTTCGGACCTAAATTTCTCTGCGAAAATGAAATTCAGAACGCACAATGCATATTCATGAGTCTAACAGTCAAGAATCCAAGCTTCTATTTAAGTCTATATTCTCAGTAACTTGAACACTCCTCGCATTTATAATGCAGCACCGGGTACCGTCTCAACCACTTTATCGATAAATTATACCCATTTTAGAATGTGAAATTAAGTACTGTAAGAAGGCGGGAAGATGGCCACCAAACATATTACTTGACTTTGCATCCGAGATTGTCCATATCGCGCATATTCCATGACACACGTTTGTCGGCATACTGCAGTAAGACGATAGTACCTGACAAACATTTGTTAACATACTGTTGTAAACCACAAGTACCTTTACTCGCGAATGTAACATTGGGACAGTTTCCGCCCCGTCATGACATACCGTAACGGCGTCGTGGTAATCGATATGAGCATGGCAAGTCAGCAAATGGGGTCGAGATGCATGGCTTTACGCTGAATGCAAAAAGTGTTACACAAAACTAAACATTACAGGATCATTTTTCAGTTGTATTTAATGTGGTTTAATCAGGCATGGCAGCAAACAAAATTACCCCACAAGTAGAAAAGGGCAAAATATTGATTTAAAGTGGTACGTTAAAAGTAGGGTGAGTAGGGTGGCCGTAAACGTGTAAGTGTAGGTAGTAGTATATACGTACACGTTGAATCATTGGGCGTTCTACCATGTCTAAGATCACAAAAATACCATTTCAATCCAATGATCACATCCGACAATTTTAGACCAAATTGTTTGTCTACTAGTAATAAACTCTATTGTAGACCAAATGTTACACAAAAACACTTAATAGGCGAAACATTCGCTATTCGAAAACAACAATAATAATCCACTGGAATTTAAAAAAAACAAAAACAAAAAACAACAAGATGATGTCATAACTTACATGTATCTTGAGATAACCGGTAAATCCAGTTTTGAAACTAGTAGTATATTCTGTGAGCAGAAGGCGACAGTGTCTATTGAAACAATACTTTGCGGTAGCGATAGGCAGTGTCATCACGTGACTGTTTTTAACAATGATAATACGAAAACGAAAATTACGGCCATGGTTGTGGGAGTAAGGATAATTAAAAATAGCTTATTACATTTTTTTCACGTCAAAATGTTTATATTGGCTCAGAATACAACATAATGAAATTTGAACAAATTCTGTATATTTGCATTTGAAGTAAGCTTCTAAATTAAAGAACGGTCACAGTACCGTGCGCTTCTAATTTTGTGTGAATAAACCCTAATATATATGCCTCGTTTTGGAGCCATATCGACCACGACACGAAAAAACAACTTGATATAAACCAATTTTACAATTTGTCAATGAATAAATACAGATTTATAAAGTAAACAATTGTATTGTGTAATCACCCCCTCCACAAATACACTCTTTCACTAGCAATCTTTCACTAGTTGAGCATACTTGTGATTATGGATAAATATGTCAGATATTTCGAGTGTGGACCAACAATCTAACATGGTTTGTAGATCTATGGTTCTAGTTAAGTCGAGGTTGACTGCCTGGCACCACCCTTCCGCCGCCTAGACAGAATGATGATTTGACCGTACTTGATACAAATACATTACCACAATGATGTTGGTTACGTCATAACCCCACTCATATTATATCGTCTTTGTCAGAATGATGCATATTTGACATTACATGCTGATGCCTATATTTTGCTAATATTCTGTTGACTTTTGATATACATGTTAATATTTGTTATCATAATCTATATTAGGATGATCTCTGTGTTAAAATAAATGAAACATACACTATTATATAGATTGAAACACAAAATCATTTTTTGCAAACGCAAGTTTCACATGTACCGTAACTTTTAAACGTATATAAATTATAGTATATAGCGCCGATTTACAAGGTAGGCAGTCGTATGGCATGACATATAAAGTATGAAATACTAGCACACGGTCCCAGTCATGGCACATTGCGAGTGAGTGAGTGAGAATAGCTTGTTTGACGGCGAGATACCAATTAACCAGGAATGTAGCTTTGATGGCTACGGCTCACCATGCTACAATACTATCATGGATTGGATTACCTGTTAAACATTGGCTAATGTGATTTATTAAGCTGCAGGGCCCGGATATGTCAACGTCTTATCACAATGATCCGACATGTTTGTCACCCACGGAGCCAACAAGTCAACACGCTTAATAGCAAATACTCGCATATAAACTATCTCACTTGTACGCACATGTATATAGAGTATATGCATAGCACTGCTCCACAGATACACTGTCATACTAGGGCGCACTAGTATAACAATTAAAATATTATTGATACGCCAATAGTCAATCAATATCAATCAATCATTATCGAACACGTTGATTACGTAATATGCAATATGGACGACGGATGTGGATCGCGATAAGGCAACTTCCGAGATAATAAACTAATTAATCTTACTATCATTAATAAATTCATATATGATATGCAACTAAAATGATACGCTTATGTATTTAAAAATACCATATACAATTATTATTAGTTTATGTACATATGGTGTTGGATTTACTACAACTGATTCACCCCTACTATTAATGGAACAGTCCAATGAAAGTGATGACGGGGTGGCGTTGAAGTCACGTAAAGTGTGGACACTTCTTAACGGCAATCGGCTACTGTGCACTGCGACCACTCAGTATTACGGACAGTCCCAGACCTCCAGAATGACGAAGACACGGAAAGAAAATCAACACTACTCATCAACAGTGACAAATAATGAAGTGATATCCGGATCGGATGAAACCATCAAAAGAAGCAAAAAACGTGTAAATACATCCTCCGCAAAAAATAACGGACCTCGACGACGAGGTCGACCAACAGGAGCTAACGCCGCTCGTGAGAGATCGCGTGTCAAAACACTGAGGTCGGCATTTTTAGAATTACAAAAGACGCTACCAGCCGTTCCACCGGACACTAAACTATCCAAACTTGATGTGCTAGTGTTGGCTACAACTTATATAGCTCATTTAATGCAGACTTTGGATTCGGACAACCCGGACAATGGTCAAGAAACTGAAATACAGCATAGACTTGGTGCTAATGGCTATTTACATCCAGTTAAGGTTAGTGTTGTTTTTACTTGGTAACAACACGTGGTATAATTCTAATCTAAGTAGTGAAAGTGTGTATAAAACACTGCATTATACACGACTCAGTGCACCCTACATATTCACTCTGACCGTGTGTGGTGACTTCGAATAATACGAATTGTTTTAACCAAGTACATTAGATTAGTCATGTGACCTGCTAGTAATTCTCATCCATATTTAGAATTATAATAACGAGATTATTCGATTATTTTTCACCGAGTACTCAGTCTGTATTCATCACAGTATATGGTACTGTGAGACAGGGTTCGAAGTGATACTCTGTATGTGTGTGACGTGGTTACGTTCCAATGCATAGAAAACCTACAGTCGCTTTGACGTCCACCCTAGAATACAATAAGTGCCTTGAACACTCTCGTATACTTAGGTTTTAGCACGTTTTATGACTTTGTGTTTGACACGAAACATCCCACTCCTATGAAATTAACTCACAAACTACTTATATACTTAAATACTATTTCGTAATTTACCGTCTCAATCCCTTCGTCCAAGTACGTAAAAATACACTAGTCGTGGAAGAGACTGATTTCACTGATGGGTTTGAGTTGAGAATTCGCTGTAGTCACCCGTCCCTCTTTAGAAGTTGAATAAAAACGCACTCCAGACAGGATATTGCCTGAAACGACGCGCTAGGAGTCGATATTGATTCTTAAAACGACTTAAGTTTTGTTGAAAACTACTCACAATAAGAACGAAGACCGGAGTGATAACACTACGTAAGGTCGGTGCAGACATCTCCAAGCTTGGTCTATTCATCTTGGGTGTATCGTCAGCGCCTGAGGACCGACGAGGGTATCGGTGATTGACGGACGTGCAAACAAACCAATGTTTTTATTTACTTTATACATAGAGGATTTACTTAGTAATTGAATGTTTGCAGCCCACCTATTATTGACATAACTGTTTTTCCATTCACCGTATGTCATTAATCTTGAAAAGTCAGCCCAATTAAGTAGAAATTCAACAAACTTGTAACTCTCTCGCATACTTTTCCTTCACAATGTACTATTCATAATACGGCACAAAAATGCCCCGGAGTTATTGAAGAAGTCGATTATTGTGTAAAAATGTCAACAATCAGTGATTAACTGTTGTAAACGGTGAAAGACGACGGATAATGTTAAAGATGTACTATTATTTACTTGTTTCACATATCAAAGACTGCATGTAAAACATGTCATCACATAGCCTTCCATTTTTCTACACGTTTGGTGTGAGTGAATGTGTTGTATAATTATTTCTGTCGTGTTATTGGGGAATTAGTGTGTTGAGTTGTGACTACTGTATAACGGACGCATATACAGTGTCTAAAATGTGCACAGTGTATGCTGTCTTCAGCACCATACGTCACTACCCCATGTCCGCATCGTCTAATTCCAATGTGATTATGTTGTGTTTAAAACGTATACATGTATATGTTATCCTTGCACGATTCGTCGCTAGTCTCCGCCACAGTCCCTCCACACTGTGTCTCCGCCCACTGTCGTTGCACGATTCGCCGCACGATTATACCTCCCGTCCACCGATGTTGCTCTTTGTCGATTATCTTCCGTATATACTGTTTCTTTCGATGCTAATTACATTTGAATATTAAACACCTGCTTATAATTATACTATGTATATTTGTGTTATACTCTCTAATTAGATTTAAAATTTGACAATATCCGTCGCACTACGTAGTACACGTAGACCGGTGCGCCAATGCGTCAGAACGCAAGAGACTAATGTACCCTATCTGAACAAACCAAATACTATGCACGGGTTGTTGTGCGTTATTGTTAACACAGCTTTCTTAGACTATCTCACGTTGAGATGTATTCAGGTTTTGCGTTCATCGTTGTGTTTAATAGATATGTATGTTGGGATAGAATATAATAATATACGCTTTGCCTTGTCCATCCCATGTCAGCAATGCTATTTTAAATGTGATGCAAGACTTTCACCATGGATACCATTAAAATATACTGAGATAGAAAGAACTTTAACAGTTTATGTTCAAAGATTTATTTTCCTGGATGAATTGGCATTATGTTTTCAATTCGAATTCAATAACGCACACGGTTGTTTTTAAAGGTCTATATATCAATCCCCGGGACAGCACCAAATCGTTACGAGAAATAAACATTATTATATTACAACATGATCACAGGATCGTCGTCTGTCTTCATCACGTGTACAGCAACTCATTTGCATATATTCTAGTCACTCGAATTATATCGATTCTTAAAGTTATTAAAATTGTCAATCGTCACTAAGACAATCGATGAGTGCATGATGTCAAGCTTTGTCGAATTTACGTACTACTACGAATAAAATCAAATAAATATCATTTTGTCATTGAAATTACACGATATAAAGAATTGAAAGAAAACTGACTGACACCAGGTATGATATCACGGGCTTTGCGCTAACGGCATTATTTATGTGTGTTGTCATGGTATCATCTCTACTAGCAATAAATACACATTTTAGTCGGCTTTCGTACCTGTCAAGGGTACATATCTATGATGTAGTTTGTAGTTTCATGTACTAGTATTTATTATTCAAAGTGAATTTTCGATGGCGTTATTTCCACACCCGTCTTGTGAGAGTTTAGGTCACATTTACCGCTGTGGTCCTATGCGTAAGTAGGGCACGTGGTCATTCTACACTTTCCATTTTATGAATCACAGTCGTAATTTGTTTCCGCATTACGACGACAACTCAGCTCTGTTGCTGTAATTTCTGATTTAGTGGCAGTATATCGTACTTAGCGTACTTAGTATATATTCAAATAAAGCTGAAAAACAAACAAATAGAGCTGAAAAACAAACGTGAAAAGTATTTGCTCGTTGTCCGTTTTCTCACGTGACTCTACAGAACACTTGACTACATTGGGAAATCCGATGCCTGTATTCAGTGATCGTATCGACACAACTTACAAGGCATTCTGAGGGTTCAAGGTTCACTAGTGATAACCATACATCTCATTTCACACACATACCAATTTGATTTAATGTTTCAAATATACGTCACATACGAGATATGGAGTTTACCAACCAACATTGTTATGGCACTCTATTCACATTGTAGGGAAATGACTCAAATTACGATTATTCTTGTGAGAAATAACCAATTATGACAGAAATGGCGGTACATTTTAGGAAAAACTTAACAATGAGTAAGTTTTAGGATTTGGTGTATTTTACCACAACCAAATGTTGAATATCGGGTCTAACAAATGTGCTGACACTGGCTATGTTAAACATCACACTGTGGTCTTGAAATATGTCGGAACCTGTATTTGTGCTGCCCTCCCTGGAAGCGAGTGACGACGTTGGTTGATAATCGATGCAATTAGCCACCTATTTAAAAAAGTATGAATTTTATTATAACAAAAATTACGAAAACTCTGTCGATGTTTGAAAAGCAAGGAGAACATTCCTGTTGATCAGATCATTCGATCAACATATAAACATACTACTTATCTGAGTACACGCAATAAGAATTGTCTGGTCATTATATAATAGAGATCGTGGGTCTGGTTCACTGCAATGCCAGTGATCAATATGGACCCAGACCCACCGTCACTACGCTGTCAGTGATCGATATGGACCCAGACCCACCGTCACTACGCTGTCAGTGATCGATATGGACCCAACCCCACCGTCACTACGCTATCAGTGATCGATATGGACCCAGACCCACTAAAACTATTACACGGTAACCATAACTGGCCCGGTAATGTTCTATATAATAAATATGCTTGGATTTACGAAGCAATTTTCTCATGTCAACAAGAAAAACATTCCCCGTGAGATTCCATCCCTTAGTTATGCCGTCGATTCTTGAAACTTCTTATTTGCTTTCACCATTTGTACAACGCACCCTGTGTACTTACAGCATTTTCTACTCATTCCTGACAATAATACCCAATAAAATTTGGAATTGATATCATAACAAGGCAGCTTGAACATTAATACTATTACCCTGTCTAATAAAAGGTCCTCGTAGAGCAGACTTATTAGACAAACAACGTCGTTGTCAGCACTTTATTTCAAAACATATGGTTTATCGTCTGAGTGTCTAACACAATATTTATTTTGACTGTGTATTTATTATACTGTGTGTGTCTACTAAACCTCTTATTAAGTAGAGTCACCGACTATGTGTAAGGTATGATGAGTTAATATTGTCCAAACAATCTGGTGTTCGGGGTCAGCAGGTTAAGACATACATGTAGATATGATGTCTTCATTCTTGGCATGCAACGCAGATACCAACTTTCGATTATAATTAGAATAGCTATGTCTTCATATTTCACGTCACTTGTCCGTCTTTTGGTCTTAGTTTACGCAAGATGAGACCGACTTAAAACTGTGGAACGTTAGCAAGAGTACGCATGCCTCTAATAGTCGCGCGTTAACGTTTAGGCCATGCGTACATTTCCAATATACTGAGTAGGTTAACTACACCATACAAAAACGGTGTTTCCTGTCTTAATAGAAGAAAAACACCATTACTTTGTGAAATCACCACCATATTATGTATTCCGATAATTCAGTATTTTCTCAAAATAAGTAATAAAGCGTGTAAATTATTATAGTGCATATTTAGATCTCCGCTGGTTGGATTGCACCATAGACCACCCCGCCATTGATAACACTATATAGGGCAGATATACTATTTTCATGTGTGAATATTGTTATTCGTTTCAATCATTTCCTTCCTCATCACATAAAAAATAATGATCTGTCTACCCCATGGCTTGGTTGCCTTGGTTACTAGATCGGAGGAAATTGAAGACTAACCGATCCAGACAGTCAGTGCTCTATAATTGCTTAATTTTGTTTTTGAAAATATTGCATATGTCTGTACTTGTGTTCATTTTAATTGGCTTCAATGCCAATTAGTGTTGGTGCCACGCCATCCGCAGAGCCATGATTAATCCCATATTGCCACTATAGCTTTCCCACGCTCCATACCACCAGTAAGATAACTTACTCATATAGCGATGTTGTTTACATTAGACGCGTCCCTCCAATGCGATCAATGTAAATGATATCTCGGCTGGTGAAAGGGGAGTTTTAGGTAGTTCATGTAACAGCCGATGCGCAGGGGCTGGTGTGGTTGGGAGTTAGGAGTGTATCAGTAATTGTGTACCGACTTTCCGTCCCACTCATAGCAACACAACGTTTCCAGGGAGCGCGCCATATGTTTAACTCTCAAAATGATAGACGCAAGTTTGGTGAATTGTTATCTTCGAAACTTTTTAAAAATGTTTAGCAATCCTGTTCGAATAAAGATTTTTTTACACAATTATGATTCTGATAACAACACTGTTAACAAATAACTATAACACTATAAAGTTCGTTCAATCTGTTCTAAACTTTTTATATTTCGACATTCTCATGATGTATCCTTAGGATGAAAAGACGTATAATAGTAAGGTTATTACGAGGATACCGAAACATATGCACTCAGACAGTACAACGTCACATCACTGCGCGTCGGTCGATACTTCCGCTGTACTGTCTTCGTGCATATTTTTTGGTATCCTCGTAATAACCTCATAATATATATTATGACAACTAATTATAACAGAACTTTTATAATAACATCTTTATTTATTATTTATTTCACAGAAGTGGCCGATGCGATCGAGGCTTTATGTCGGAGCGACGCCGTCCAGTCCTCCGTCACAATACAGCTCGATGACGTCACAACCCAGTCCAAGTGGTTCGTCGGATAGCTGTTAACTGTTGAGTCTCAGTACATCAGACATTTATGAAATGCTGCATTATTCACAGTCATTGGATTTGTTTTTCATTTTATACAAAGTCAGTATTTGATTGGCTTATCGATGACCAATGCGAAGAAACACATCACCAGACTCAATCCCTCAGCAATTACCAAACTCTGCATTAATTATATATATATAGTCTAATATTATGCCAAGGCTGCACTGTTTATTCAAACTGCTATTATATTGTATTCAAATTGCCACTTCTGATATTTAGCGGTCACTTTTTTTTCAATCATTTGTATGAGAAGAGAAACTTACACATGCCTATACGAGCCGCTGGCCAGCTCATTGTAGAATATGCAGTTTATCGTGTAAAGTGTTAAGTCAACTACTAGTATTCATGCCTTATTTTGATATCCCACCCGAACTAAGTGAATATAGAACGCCAGGTGTCCACCAAACTGCCATGTGTAACACTGGGATGGCCATCAAACTGCCCTGTGTGGAACGCAGGGTGGCCGACAAACAACCATGTGTGGAACGCGGAGATGGCCGTCAAACAACCATGTGTGGAACGCAGGGTGGCCGACAAACAGCCATGTGTGGAACCAGGGTGGTCGACAAACAGCCATGTGTGGAACGCGGGATGGCCGTCAAACAGCCATGTGTGAAACACGGAGATGGCCGTCAAACAGCCATGTGTGGAACGTGGAGTAGGCCGTCGAACAGCCCTGGTACATGGTACATGCTTCACGTGTCGTGCTTTATTTTAGTTTGTATTATATTACTTATATTTCCATAATGACAAATTTATGATGTGCATGCTTATTAATTAGTGAATTTCATATCTCAATATACAATATGTTTTAAGTTGCAGTGTTTTCTAATTAATATTTTTTATATTGTTTTGAAAACAAGATTATATTTTTTTGTGTTTCATGTACTTTTACCTGTGTATATTTTCAATTTGAATGAATTTTGATAAAATGAATAATTTGTTTATAAAAGTCAATATCATATTATTGCCGTGTACGTTATTTTAACTGGGAGTACTTTGAAATGATACTTGTCTACGCATGCAAATGGGTATATCACGAAATGTCTGCTATGATATTACAGTAGCTTCGAAATGGGGTAACCGAACTATCAGAAATCTGTGCTATTTGACATCAATATTAAATCCGTATAAACTGCACATTTCTGTGTTTTACCGTTTTTAGCTCCCCTGTCGACTTTGTCGAGCGGAGCTTATCATATGAGTGATTGTCCGTCGTCGTCCGTCGTCTGTCGTCCGTCGTCCGTCGTCCGTGTCAATGTTTTACTTTTTCGACTTCTTCTTGAAAACTATAAGCCTCAATGCTTTGATACTTGGTGTATATATACCTTGGGTAGACCTCTTTTAGATTTGTTCATTTCATGATGATATCTTCAATTCTCTAATTTTGGTGAATATTTTTTGTCATTTTTGGTAAAAAGTGATATTTTCGATTTCTTGTTAAAAACCGCAAGTCCAATTGCTTTGATATTACATATATAGGTACTACATGTGGACCTCTTTCAGATTTGATCATTTTGTAATGATATCTTTAATTCTCTAATTTTGGTGAATATTTTTGTCATTTTTGGTAAAAAGTGATATTTTCGAATTCTTGTTGAAAACCGCAAGTTCAATTGCTTTGATATTACATATATAGGTACTACGTGTGGAACTCTCTCAGATTTATTAAATTCATGATGATATCTTCAATTCTCTAATTTTGATGAATATTTTTGTAATTTTTGGTGAAAAGTGATATTTTCGACTACTCTTAAAAAACCGCAAGTCCAATTGCTTTGATATTACATATATAGGTACTACATGTGGACCTCTCTCAGATGTGGTTATTTCGTGGTGATATCTTCAATTCTCTAATTTTGATGAATATTTTTGTGATTTTTGGTAAAATGTGATATTTTCAATTTCTTGTTAAAAAACACAAGTCTGGTTGCTTTTAGATTTTTTAATTTCGTGGTGATATCTTCAAATATCTAATTTTGATGATGATAATTTTTGTCATTTTTGGTGAAAAGTGATATTTTTGAATTCTTGTTAAAAACAGCAAGTCTACATATTGTTAATTTTTTAATGATATCTTTGTTCTTTAATTGAAATGTGCATTGCTAACAGCGGAGCTATCTCAGCCGATAGGCTGCTTGTTTCTTTTTCGAAGCATAACTAGGACAAGTTCGTTCCATATTGTCACAATGAGATGTGGGCGAACATAACTGGCATAATCTCACGTTCGATCATAAACACCCGTGGGTTGAAATTTGGTTGTTGTTGTTGGGTGGTGGGTGTAGTGGAATTATACTTTAGACACACTCAGGCTGTAGTAGACACGGTGATCATGGATGGATTATGCGAAAGGAACAAGAAACCAACCCACAATAATCCCTTACCAGCCAAGCCTTGAGAGTAAATAGCGAAACATCGCCATAACGACCATGGTATGTACTCATGAAAGCAACTCGACATTATAGACGTCACTAGACCCCCTGTTTGGTCAAATCAGTACTGGCAGTACTGCAAGCCACGATGAGTGGTATTGTACGTACATAACTTTACATGTGATAGTTAAATCACGTGATGGATATAGCTTATTAACTAATTTGTGAACGGTTTTCGTGAACTGGGGAGGTGTTCGACCAATCAGATTATCGCTGTAGACAATTTAATTAGTAGCACATTTGTCGAATATCCGTAGTTGTCAGTCACTATGCCTTAATCAAACTATGGTATATCACCATAGCAACACGGTGAGAAGAAGTCACGTGTCAAGACACCCATAGATATCACTGTCCCTACGTTAATTGGAGCAATAGGTACGGGACGGTGGGGTTTTGCAGACTAAAATTGTATACCATTTTAGAGAACAGATAGAAATGTCTCAACTACTAAGTTGACAGTTGTAATGTGTTAGTGGCTTCATATCGGATGCATCTAACAATCACATCTTTATTTTGAAGTATCTCGGGTTATTTAGACATCAATGTTTCTTGACGCATCCAGGGATTCCTTTACAGGATTCTAATGGCTGACTAAAACGCTACGTTCGATGTAATCACGACATCAAACAATCAACAAATCGCTCCAAGTATCTCTAAATACATCTGT